AAATTTGAAGTTTGAGACCTCATCTGTGAGCCATTAGATAAAAAAAGATCAATGGTGTCACATGCTTACAAATCAGAGTCATTGATCTTTTTTGATCTAACGGCTCTCAGATGAGGTGTCAAATTTCAAATTTGACACCGGTGTCAAAGGATCCTACCTCATATATATATATATATATATATATATATATATATGAAACAAAATTATATTTTCCTTGATTCAATGGGAAGAGTGAGACACTGAAGTGTAATTTTGACTAGTAAATAAGTTCATTTTTAAACAATCCAACTCTTTTACATAACCACTTAAAGGTTAAATCATCAATTAACAAGCCGATTTGAGTGCAGACTATTGGAATAATAATTCTTCTTAACCTTATGGTGATAACCATCACCAACAAACCAAGATCCACCATACCAAATTATAAAGAAATATTAACAGAAAGATGGAGGCTTACCTGTCTCCATAGCAGCGGAATAACTTCGATCTTCCTCAGTCAAATAATCCTAATCTTTATTCTTTACTGTGTTGTCTCTCTCTTGATGGAGAATAGAAACTAGGGTTATTTTTTGACATATTGAGCACCATAACCCTTTATTGTGTTTTCTTTATTATTGGGTCAGTAAGCTCCCATTATACCTAGTTGGCCCAACACTGTATCCACCCATTTATCCCACACTTACTTAGGAATCTATTTGGGCATCTTTATTTGATCACTTTAATTTACCCAATATATATTAAATAACATAATATAATTATTTATACAATATATAGCCCACAAACACATTAAGAAATATAATTTCTTAACAATCTCCCACTTAGGCTACATATTGACTTGAGATAATTATATCACATATTCTTAGTGCGCAACTATATGCTATTTATCCTTAGATTTCTCCTTAGATACAATCTGGTTCATCTTCTATATTAATATGAGATCATTGCGGCTTTTGTTACTGTCAAGCGTAACTAAACCTTCCATGGTCATTACACCAATATATTCAATAACATAGATCAAGTATGGATGAGTGGCATGGACATTACATGCAATGTGATCTCCATCATGCCTATTTCCTATTGGTCTTACTTTAATCCTTATGAGATCAGTCCTTAATTTCCTGCATACACAAAGCAGAAACACAAGCACAAAATATACACATTCAGAGGGAAAATAACATCAAAATCTTTATTCTGCCGAAAACAAACATATAAATGTTTTTACATAGAACACCAACATAAAGAACTCCCACTAAACCATAGTGTCATCAAACAAAACAACACCCATATGAACAGTATGCTCATGAAATACCTTAGGCACTAAGCCTTTAGTAAGCGGATCCGCAAGCATGGAGTTCGTCCCTATGTGTTCTAAGAAAATCTGACAACTCTGAACTCTTTCTTTAACAACCAGAAACTTTATATCGATGTGCTTCGATTTTGAAGAGCTTATATTATTGTTGGAGTACAACACTGCTGACTTATTGTCACAATAAATCTTCAATGGCTTTTCATCACCACTTACTATACGCAGCCCTGTAAAAAAATTTCGCAGCCATACCCCATGGTTGGATGCCTCAAAACAAGCTACAGATTCAGCGGCTATAGTAAAGGAAGCTACAAGTGTCTGCTTAGCACTATTCCAAGAAATAGCTCCTCCAGCTAACATGTAGACATAAACTGACGTGGATCTTTTACTGTCTTAGCATCCAGCAAAATTGGAGTCGGAATACACAATAATCTCTAATTCATGTGACCTCCGATATGTGAGCATGTAATCTTTTGTTCTCTTTAAATACCGCATAACCCTCTTGGCTGGTTTCCAATGATCCACTCCTGGATTGCTCAAGTATCTACCTAATACTCCCACTAAAAATGCTATATTAGGGCGAGTACAAACCTGGGCATACATAAGGCTTCCTACTGTCGAAGCATAAGATACCTTTGTCATTTCCATTATCTCAAGCTTATCTTTGGGGCATTGACCGAGACTAAACTTGTCTCCCTTAGATATGGGCGTGTCTCCTGATGTACAATCCTTCATGCCAAATCTATCCAGAATTTTTCAATATAGGCCTTTTGTGATAATCACAGGACACCTTGAGAGCGATCTCTAAATATCTGTATTCCTAAGACAAAAGATTCAACGTCAAGATCCTTTCTCTCAAAAAATTTAGTGGGAAATTTCTTGGTTTCATGCAATAAGCCCATATCACTGTTGGCAAGTAATACATCATCAACATATAGTATTAGAAATATGAATTTACTCCCACTGAACTTGTGGTACACATGATCTTCTACCAAGTTCACCTCAAAGCCATAGGAGATGATAACCTGATGAAATTTGTGATACCATTGACGATAAGCTTGCTTAAGGCCATGGAAGGACTTCTTTAATTTGCAAACTATAGACTTTGAATATCCAAATACAAAGTTTTATGTTTGCATCATATAAATAGTCTCATCAATGTTACCATTGAGAAACATTGTGTTTACATCCATCTGATGTAGCTCCAAATCCAAATGAGCCACAAGTGCCATTATGTCCTAAAAGAGTCCTTCGTAGAAACTGGAGAGAAGGTCTCTTTATAGGCTATGCCTTCTTTCTGAGTGAAATCTCTAGCAACTAATCGTGCCTTATATCTTTCGATGTTGCCCTTGGAATCCCTTTTGGTTTTAAATATCTATTTACAAGCAATGGGTTTTTCACCTTTAGGTAACTCAACAAGATCCCAAATGTCATTATCTTTCATAGACTTTATCTCATCTTTCATGGCATCAATCCATTTATGAGCATCAGAGCTTTCTAAGACTTGTTGGAAGTTTATTGGGTCATCTTCCTTCAAGCCTAAAATATTCTCATCCTGTTGAAGAAACACAATATAATCATCTGGAATTGCGTTTCTCCTTTCTCTACTAGATCTCCTTAATGGCACTTCTTGAGTTTGTTGAGTTTGTTCTTCATGTGGCAAAGGAGGCGGTTCATTGTTGTCTTGACCCAAAGTAATGTCAGGAACCGAAGCTTGTTCCTTAATAATGTCATGAACAGGTACCTGATCATTAATTGTTTGTACCAGAATTGCATCTTGAATGACGATAATATTAGGAAGAGAAATATAATTTTCTTCGTCATCAAAGGCAACATTCCTTACTTTATCTTCCTCCTCCAAACTCAGTATCCTCAAGGAATCTGGCATTTCCCGTCTCAAAAAAGATCTTATGGTGGGATTATAGAACTTAAATCCCCAAGAATGTTCAACATATCCAACAAAATAACAGCTGATTATTCTTGAGTCCAACTTTCTTTCATTTGGCCTATAGGGCCTTGCTTCAGCTGCACAACCCCAAATGTGTAAATGCCTTATGCTAGGTTTCTTTACAGTCCATAGCTCATAAGGGGTTTTTGTCATTGCTTTTCTTGGAACCCTGTTAAGGATATAAACTGCAGTCTTTAGTGCTTCTCCCCAAAGTTATTCAGGTAATGAAGAATGAGTAAGCATACTCCTCACCATATCCTTAAGAGTCTGATTTCGCCTTTCCGTAACACCATTTATACTAGGTTTGCCTGTCATTGTGTATTGTGGGACGATTCCACACTCCTTTAGGAAGACCGCAAAGGGCCCTAGACGTTGTTCACCTGATCCATCAGATCTACCATAGTATTCACCACTACGATCAGATCTTATGGCCTTAATTTTCTTGCCTAGTTAAAATTCAACTCTAGCCTTAAATTCTTTGAACACGTCCAATAATTGTGATTTCTCACTAATCAAATATAGGTAGCCAAATCTTGAATAGTCGTCTATGAACATGATAAAGTATTGTTGACCATTTCAAGAAGCTGTAGGAAATGTTCCACAGATATCCGTATGAATTAGTTCTAAGATGTCTGATGCCCTGTTAGAACCTATTTTCCTTATGTTTGTCTGTTTTACCTTTATGCATTCAATGCATATCTCAAAATCATCCAGATTAAGGGGTTCAAGAATTCCATCATTCACAAGCCTCTGAATTCTCTGTTTACAGATATGACCCAAACGCTTGTGCCACAGAATGCCAGAATTCTCATTTAATTTTTGCTTTGTACCTTGTGCACTTAAGTGCATTATTTCATTATCAGTAGCAATAGTATCAAGCATGTAAAGATTATCAATCAAAGAACCAGTACCAATAATATTTGAAATAAAGAGAAAGACAAACTTTCGTATTTCCGAATGAACAAGAATAAACAGATTTGTCCAAACTTGAAATAGAAATTAAGCTCTGTCTAAATGACAGTACAACAAATGTCTCAATCAAATCCAAATAAACTCCAGTCTTTAACAATAATTTAATATTCCCTATAGCTTGAATTGTAACCTTCTTGCCATCGCCCATAAAGATCTATCTCTCAGCTTCACTTGGCGGTCGGCTCCACAGGCAACCCTGCATAGTCATACTTATATGAGTAGTAGCACCAGAATCTACCCACCAAGTATCAACAGGCATACAAGCTAAATTAATTTCAGAATAAAAAAAAAGTGAGAGTTATACCCTTCTATGCGTTATGCCAGATATTTGGAACACTCTTTCTTCATGTGTCTAGATTTCCTACAAAAGAAGCAAGTGAATTCCTGATCCTGCTTCTTTTGTTTCTTTTGCACAAGCAAAGCTTCTACATTATCCTTAGCTCTCTTCTTTTTCTTGCCTTGAGAGGTTGATGCCAAAAGAGCACTATCAGTCTTTTCTTATTGTAACCTCTCTTCCTCTTGCACACAGTGAGCAATAAGCTCATTAAGAGTCCATTTTTCCCTTTGGGTGTTATAGCTCACTCTAAATTGACCGTATTATGCAGGAAGATAGATTATAACTAAGTACATGAGCAACTCAGATGACAACTCTAACTTTAATGCCCTTAGTTTTCCAGCAAGGTTAGACATTTCCATAATGTACTCCCTTATGTTTTCTTTTCCATTGTACCTCATATTAATGAGTTTGGGCAAAGTTTGACCAATTTTGGCCTTTTAATTTCGAGCAAAGTATTGCTCGAGTTCCTTCAGAAATATCTTGGCATCCGTAGTCTCAACTATCGAGCCCCTAAACGCCTCCGGAACGGAGCGTTTCATGATCATCAGACAGATACGATTTGAGTGTTCCCACTTCTCAACCTTATCTGTATTCGAATTTTTTGGAGTAGAAGTGGGTTTCTCAGTTCTTAGTGCATTGTCTAAATCCATGCAGCCGAGAACAATTTCCACTTGCTCTTTCCACAGTTTGAAATTTTCCCCATTAAGCATGAGAATCATATTCACTTGAGCAACTAAGTTAGCAGAAACTGTATAGAGATCAAAATAAGATAACATACTCATAACAGTCATATCATGTATATATTTAAACACCAACAAAATCATATTACATATATGATATTAACAAATAATCTAAAGTCAAATGAGTTTATTTACAAGATACCTAGCACAACATTGACATTCAGTTTTTGGACAAAAAATATCAACTTGTAAGTGATACTCTCAATGCAGTAATCAAACATTGATAATAAGTCTTGTCAAACCATAGCCTTCTTTTGGTTGGAATATGACTCACATGGTGAAGCCTTAATAATTGTCACATATTTATTATCACAGGTATGTCCATTGCTTGGCCAAATAATAACCTTCCTTTGGGCCGATTATATCCGCATAAGCAACAAACACACACATGATCATACAACATAAATCATTTTGCAAACAACTACCGTCCTTTGGGCCTATAATTATTCGCATAAATAATATATATTTATATGATCAACCTATTTGAAATCAAATTAACCTTTATAAATTTGGCCACTTTGGCGGCTAACAAATCTATCATATTTAATTTCAATTAGAAACCTTTCGGGATAATAAACCCATTTAAAAACAAAATAACAGCAATAAAGAAAATTATTCTTTATCAATCCTCAATGTACATACATACATACTATACCATTATACCAATAACAATAAATACCTTTTCATTATAAGACTTAAAAAATGATGCCCAAACGACGCACAGGTAAGCCTTTTCAAATGAAAGCTTGAAAATGATGCACAATACCCAATTTTTTTTTATATTTAGCTTTTAACAAAGAATATCAAATATAAGGAAAACCCCAAAACCAAAGGCCTTAAACATTTGATTTCTTTCAAACCATAAGTCCAAAATTTTCTAAGAGAATTCATTATTCATTCAAACAATTCAAACAACAAACCCTCATCAATTATAAAGCCAAAATTCTTCCAAACATTCCATCTATATACAGATTCAAAATTTAAATAATAAACTCTTATTAAACTGTGAATCCTAGATTTTCAAAAAAATGTAGCTTTTGTTCCAAAACCAAAAATCACCGTGAGGGAACAAAAATAACACTACATAGCTAATACAAAATATATAAGATGGAACGCACATTCAAAAAATAATAAACTTTATGCCAAAAGACAATAAAGCAAAACTTTTCATGATTCATCATATATAAAAATCACAAAACTTAATTCTCTCATAATTCAATATGACAATGGCTCTAATACCAATTTGACGTGCAAATTCTCCAGCAATGGCGCCAAATTTGACGTTGGCTGTCGAATCCACGCAAATTACCGAGCTTTATGTTTGTAGTGATAGGGCAACTCGAATCGTCTCCCAAAGAACCTGCTAGAAATCAGAAACGCTCTGTAAAATATAGAAAATAAAGAGGGGGATTTTTGTTTGTTCAATTTGAAATAAAACAGAACGTAAAAAGATGAATTTGAAATCGTAATTTAAAATAACCAACCTAAGGCTATGATTCCTAATATGTCTTTCCTTGGATAAAAAGATACCAGAATCGTGATTGATCTCAATTGAATCAGAATCCTTGTTTTTAATTGAGAACCCTCTCTAAGCGATCGCTTAGCGTTTAATCAATATAATCATCAAATCTTATGATTAATCTCTTTTCATAATCGCAATCGCGAATCTCAGATTGAATATCTACAATCGCCCGATATCAATTTGAGTTTGGAAGGGAAACAAATCTGATTTAAAGGAAAACGCAGATCCTCAAGACCAATCCATGGAATCTGTTACCCTTAGGTTGATTAAATGGTTCTTAGCCTCCCATGGCTAAGGTAAACATAATTAAAAATTAAAAAAAATAAGAAGAAAAAATGAAGAAGAACATAATTCAATTGAAATTTCCAGAGACAATTTGTCAATCCTCAAACTCTCCAAAAATCTCACTCCGAAGGGTTTCCTAAAGTTTCTCTTAAATAATCCACATTCAGAACGGGTTACGGTTCTACCACTTCGGCCCATACATAAAATAAAAACATAATAAAATAAAATAAAACATTAAAACATGGCATTGAGCCGTAAACACATTGAGTTCTAATTTAATTTACAAGTCCAAACGTCAAAATAAATTTTCAACAAAACACGTCCATCTTGGGCTCAGGTTTAGACCATCTTTCCATTCGAATTGTGCTTCAGTAGATGATATAATGATTGTAGCCCTTTCTGTTAGCTGCAAAACGCAACAAGAATAATGATTGTAGCCCTTTCGGACATCTGTAGAGTGAGATATGGCCAAAATACGAAAATAGTATAAATTTGAAAAATTCAAACGAAATCAATTAAACCCAATTAAAATCTAGAATTTTAATTTAACCCAAAATACCTTTATTTAACTCAAATAAATATTAAAAATACTAACCAAGAGTGATAAATAAATGTAACAAAATATACAATATCAATAACTCATAAACATATTAGAAAATAGAATTTCCTAACACACACCTGCATCACTATACCTGCATCACTATACAGTATTAATAGAAAACGTTACAACTTGTTTTCATGATTGTGGATTGAGATGAACCCGACGGCGTCAATGCTTAAAATAATAACGGAATATCTTCGTGATAAAACTAATTTGAATATAAATTTGACAATAGCATCGAAGAGATAAAGAAAAATTTTAACACAAGTAAAACAAACGCGTTTACACAAACTCCAAAGAAACTTTATCTCCAAAGTGACGATACAAGCCTGTTTCTTTGCCCTCCTCAAAAAAATAATTTTTATCTCTTTTTTATTTTAAAAGTGTTTTTTTACAAAAATTAAAGTTATTTATATTTTAATAAAAATAATTAATTTCTAAAAAAAATATTTGATTTTTTACTTCTATTTTTTTTAGAAGTTAAAATTTTTAGATTTTGAAAAAAATAAATTTTTAATTTTTTTGTGACTTTTATTTTTTCAAAAATAGACATCCAAATAAATTAAAATTGAGAAGTACTTTTTTTTTTTTAAATGTAGCTTTTGAAAAAAAATTCATTCAAACGGATACCAAAAATATAAAATTCATGATGATAAACAAGAAAGATTAGAGAGCAACTACACAAAATGTCCAAATGGAAATATAAAAAGGGAAATACATATGTTATGTAATATAATACAAAATCAATTTCCTATCCAAACAAATTTTGGTGGGACTCGTCATGAAAAAAATGAAAAACAAAAGAAATGTTGACATAATATTCAATGTGTGAGAATATGAATGCTTTTCTATATCATGTTATATGATAGAAATATCACCCATATAAAAATGGGCCCAAATAAAATATTAGAGAGGGGGGCTGGTTTTTCACATGGAAAAAGTGGTACATACACGTGCTCAGCCGGAGAAAAATAAAATAAAAGTTTATACGCACAACACGCATCGAGCAAAACGTGACACAATAATTAACAAGTTAACAGTATTTTATGACATTAGATTAAAATATATTATTCAAGTTCGTGCTTTTTGTGGGGTTATCTTTTATAGAATAGACCGACGCAGACGACCCAATCTAGGACCGTGATCATCTCTCGTGAGTCGTGACGATAACGCGTCCTTTCCTTTTGCTTTATCCTATTTGATCAATTTTTTAATATTTTATACAAATAGTTTTTTTAAAAAAATATATTTTAAAAGTTAGATAAGTTGAGCGATTAAAATATGAATTTTATAATTCTCATTCAAATTCAAAATGAGAATTGAAATATTCTTAGACACCTTTCAATTTTGGTGCTGGCATGAATTTTACATATAATTTTTTTTAACATGTGAGTCCCACATATTTTTTGTCTCTGTAACATAAGATTTTAATTCTTATGTAATTTGAGAATTATAAAATCCTTAAAATATTTCTAATTAAAATATTACCATATTCAATAAATATTTAGAGTAAATACATTTTTTAATCCCTGACAATATCCACGAACCCCTTATTGGTCCCTAGCAATAAAAAAAAGACATAGTGGTCCCTTAAATTACAAAAAATAGGCCATGTTAGTCCTTATGTTAAATTCCATCTAATGTCCCAACTAACGGTGCACACTTGGCACGTTAGTTTGCTGACGCGAATTTGAGTGGTCCACCGTGGATGTTAAGACGACGACGTTTTGATAATTAGTTGCATCTCCATGGTTGTGTGGTCACCTGGCCTAGCATCAATTGCATCTCCAACGCCCATATTGGTCCCTGACAAAAACCACAGGGCCTTTTTTGGTCCCTAGCATCATCAGTTGCTTCTCAGCTTCTTCTCTCCAGACAGGTTCATGGGCTTGTGACAAAGTTTAGTTTTTGTGGAAATGTGATCCTCGAGAGTTCTCTTGTTGATGTTTATGCGAAATGTGGGGTTATGGATAATGCCTGGAAGATGTTTCATGAGATTCCACGTCCAAATGTTGTCACTTGGAATGTAATTGTGAGGCGGTATCCTGATGTTGGTGATGCAAAGGAATCAGTTTTCATGTTCTCGCTGATGTTTTTGACTAAGGTTAGGCCTTTGAATTTCACATTCTCGAATGCTCTTGTTGCTTGTTCAAGTATGTCTGCACTCGAGGAAGGGATGCAAATTCATAGGGTTGTTGTGAAGCAGGGTCTCCAAGAGGATAATGTTGTTATGAGATCGCTTATCAACATGTATGTCAAGTGTGGTAAATTGGAGGATGGTTCTCTGGTTTTTAATCAGCTTGCTTCGAACGATTTAGTGTCTTGGACTTCCATTGTGTCAGGGTATGCTATGAGTGGAAAAACTTGGGAGGCAAGAAAACTTTTTGATGAGATGCCTGAACATAATGTGATCTCATGGAATGCAATGTTGGCGGGGTATACACGATTCTTCCAATGGTCGGAGGCATTAGATTTTGTATATCTGATGCTTGATACAATTAAAGACGTAGACCATGTCACTCTTTGTTTGATGCTAAATGTGTCGGCAGGCCTTTCAGACCATGAAATGAGGAAACTGGTTCATGGCTATATCTATCGACATGGTTTCCACTTGAACCTTATGGTTAGCAATGCCCTTCTCTACATGTATGGTAAATGCGAGAACTTGAACAACGCCAGAGTTTGGTTTAACTAGATGAGTAATTGACGCGACAGGGTTTCTTAGAATGCTTTATTGGCTAGCTATGGTCATCATCATTTAAGTGAACAAGCACTAACAATGTTTTCAAAGATGCAATGGGAGACAAAACCAA